GGACCGGAATCGAAGCCGTGGGAACCAGATCAGGCCAGGACCGGGCCGGGAGCGGAGCTGTGCGGAACCGGTTCGGGCCGCGCCGGAGCCGTGTGGAGCCGGTTCGGGCCGGGCAGCCGCYGCCTCCGGCACTGCGGGGCTCAGCRTGGGCGGGTGGGATTCGTCCCGGAGCCGGGAATCCCAGCGCAGGGCCAGGACTGGTGCTGGTAGGGACAGGGCTGGAAACGTCCCCCTCGGCTCGCGGCACCCGCTCGTGGCGGGAGGGCCGGAGTGTGCGGTGACGGTGGGGACACGGCTTGGGCGGAGGGCAGCAGGGCCCGGGGACGCCGTGCCGGGCGCCGGGGACACCGTGCCGGGCGCCGGGGACACCGTGCCGGGCGCCGGGGACGCCGTGCCGGGTGCTGGGGACACCGTGCCGGGCGCCGGGGACACCGTGCCGGGCGCCGGGGACACCGTGCCGGGCGCCGGGGACACCGTGCCGGGTGCTGGGGACACCGTGCCGGGCGCCGGGGACACCGTGCCAGGTGCTGGGGACACTGTCCCCGCTGGCACCAAGCAGAGCACCGGGGAAGAGCCGCGGCTCTGCGGGCCGGTGATGCGGGGCCGCTGGGGACCTTGGGCTGCCGAAATGCCCGGACTGGCCCAGGACGGTCCCGGCTGGCCCAGCTGGGCGAGCGGTGACGGGCTGGGGGACATTGGATGGGGCTGGGCTGGGGTCTCAGTAGGGCTGTTGGGGCCCTGCCGAGCGCCCTGCCCTGGCTGCCGGGGGGGACGTCCTGCCCCAGCAGGGATGTTCTGCCCCAGCGGGATGTCCTCTCCGAGCAGGGATGTCCTCTCCGAGCAGGGATGTCCTCTCCGAGCAGGGATGTCCTGCCCGAGCAGGATTTAGCAGGACCGTGAGGGCTCTGAGCTCATTTTAATCCTACCTGGGGCTTTATCTGTTTCTGATCTGGCCGCTGCCATGGATTTAACCTGGCAGTTTTTTTTTAATCCGAGTTCTCCCCGGGGCTGGAGCSTCGGAGCAGGTTCGGATTAACCGGGTCTAATCACCTGATCCTGTTAGCGGATCAATCTACGTGACCTGTGATTAACAGCATCCCAATCCCCCTTTCCCCGGGGCCCCGCGGCCCCCTCTCCCCATCCCAATGGAGAAGGGGCCGCGGCGCCAGCCGGCACGGAGCCCTTCCCGGTGCCCGCGGCGTTGGGAGCCTCCCGGCAGGGCCAGGGCCGCTCCTGCYTCCCCGCATCCCTCCCTCCGCCGCCGCTGCCTCCCGGCTAAGTCCTGCCAGATGGTGCCGGGCGCCCTAATCTGCTCATTTGCCAGCGGGCTCTGTGCGGGGCCGCGGGGCCGGCGCCGGCAGCGCCGGAGGGGCTCCCGGTGCCGCCAGCTGCTGCGGAGCGGGGGGGACGTCGGCTCCCTCCCGCCCTCCGTGGCTCCCACACCCGGAGCCGCTCCGGGCTCGCGTCCCAGCCCCTTGGGTGTCCCGTGGAGCGGGGGCTGTGGGGGGCTCGGCTGCTCTCGGGGGCTGCMTGGCTTGGCAGACCCCCACATGGCTGCAAAGGGTGGTCGGGAACTGGAGAAACGTCCTTAATTGTCACCAATTATCGGCACAGCGGCGCTTCCAGCCGCGCAGTGACCCTCTCCGCYCCGCGCTGTGTCTCCGTGGGGCTCCGAGGGTGGGAGCAGGGCTCGGGGCGGCAGGGTCCCCGCCGTGGCACCGCGTGGGGCTCTGCTGGCACCGCCTGAGCGCCGCCCGTGCCGCCCCGCAGGCTGCGGGACCAGCGCCCTGAGCCACGACCTGCACGCGCTGGGCTACACGGACGTCACCAGCATCGACTTCTCGCCCGTGTGCATCGCGGCCATGCGGGCTCGCCACGCGCGCTGCGCCGGCCTGCGCTGGGCCGTCATGGACATGCGCGCCCTGCGCTTCCCCGACGCCTCCTTCGACGTGGTGCTCGAGAAGGGCGCCCTGGACTCGCTGCTCACCGAGGAGAGGGACCCGTGGCGCGTGTCGGCGCAGGGCGCCGCGGCGCTGCGCCAGGTGCTCACCGAGGTAGGGCACGCGCGGGGCTCGCCTCGGCTGTCGCCTCCCCGAGGGAGCCGTCCCTGCCCTCGGGATGTGCAGGGATCCTGGGTCCGGTCCYGGGCGGGGGCGCTGGGAATGGTGGCGGTCCCCCGCTTTGCAGCCTGTTCAGGGACATCGCCGCAGCAGGGCCCGGCTGTGCCCGGGGACGTGAGGGCGCCCGGGGGGGCGCCGGTGGCCCCGGGCAAGGTGACAAGCGCCGCGGCCCCCATGGTGGCCCGGTGTTGCCACGGCAACGCGGTGCCATCGAGCGGCGCTGCCGCCGGGACGGGCGATGCCTCCGGCGCCCGCTAATTGGCAGCGGTGGCGGGAGCCGCACGGAGCCGCGGGCGGGAGCGGCCCCCCTGCTCCGGCCATCGCTCCCTCCTCCTCCTCCTCCTCCTCCTCCTCGCGCCGCCGGGGAACGAGCAGCACCGAATCCCGCGGTGCTGGCAGCCTCAGCGCCGGGGCTGTCCCCACATCCCGGCTGCGCCCTGCCGGGAATGCTGCCTGCCCTTGTTTGGGAACGGGAGGATTTAGCCCCCCCACACACRCGTTTAATCCTCTGCTCAATCCGTGCCCTCTGCGCGCGGTGCTGGGCGCTCCCGGGGAGCTCTGCTCGTCCCGCTGCCCTCCCTGCTGGGGCCCGGGATGCTCCCTGCGGAGACGTCGTGTCCCTTCCCGCATGATTGTCCCTTTCCCGGGTGGCGGCCACTTTCCCGGGTGTTTCTGTGCCTGCTGGGGGAGTCCTCGGTCCCCCTGGAGCGCCCTGTTCCCCCTCGTGGGCTCCCGCTGTGTCCCGGGAAGCTCCCCCGGCCGGGGCGGTGGCCGGCGGCGGGATCGGAGCCGCTGCCGCCAACTGCCGCCCGCAATCCTCTTAGGGCCCCGCGCCGGGATCTCGCTTTAATGGGATCAGCTCTGCTCGYGGGGCCGGGGGGGACGTGAGGCCGGGCACACGCGCCGCCCGCGGCATCCCCGGCACCGCGCGGCCCCGCGCCTGCTCCGGCTCCTCCGCTCCATCCCGGTCCCCGCCCGCTCTCGCTCCCGGAGCCGGGAAGCGTTTTGGGAGCCAGGGAGATTTTTCCTGTGCCCGTCTCTTAGCAACGGCCCTTGCTGCTCCATTAGCGCGTGCCGGGGTGCGGGAGCCGGGGTGCGGGAGCCGGGGTGCGGGAGCTCCCGCGTCCCCATTGTGGGTATCGGGAGCGCGGCCGCGGCTCCCAGCCCCGCTCCGACACCCCTCGTGCTGCGAGATGGGTGCCGAGGGGAGGGCGACGTGTCCTGCCTGCCCTCCCCGGTCCTGGGCGGCACCGGGGGGGCCGGGGTCTCTCTCACGGAGACCCACGGGGCCTGGTGCCTCCCTGGGCTCCTCTTCTTTCTCTGCCCTGTCCTTCCCACACAGGGGTTTTGGCCGCCGGCCCTTCCCCGCATCCCCCTCCCCGCCATCCTCCCGCGCCCTTCAGCTCTGCCCTCGGAGCCCTGGTGCTTCCCGCGAGGATTAACCCGGAGCTTGGGAAAGCCCCGGGGCCTCCGTGCCCCTCCCGCGGCTCTGCCCTGCCGGCTCCGCGACGCTGCGGCCGGGAATGGTGCAGTGGGGGAGTCCCCATCCCTGTCCCCGTCCCYGTCCCCGTGCTGGCATCGCGGTGCTGCGCCCGGGAAGGGCGCATGCGGGGGCGTCCCCATCCCTATCCCTGTCCCCATGCCAGCTCCGTGGCTCTGCAGCCAGGAAGGGTGCACGCTCCTGCTGCAGGGGCTTCCCCATCCCTGTCCCCATCCCAGTTCTGCGGCGGGGAGGGAAGCGCCGGGGGCTGCCTGCCCACCCCGGGCGCTGCCTTTGCATGCCGAGCACGCGGGCRCTGGCCGTAAAAGCCTTTTGACATTGGATAAAGCCAAGCAAGAAAATTGATGTTCTTTTCCATCCTATTAGCGGGGGCTTAGTTCCAGCGAGGAGAAAACGGTGATTAAAAGGGTCGAGTCCTTGGCAAGTCAGAGGCCGCCACGGCAGGAGCGGGGTCCCGTGGCACCCTGGGGGCTCCGTGCCCACGAGGGGCCGGGGGGCAGAGGCGGAGAAGGAGCTTTGGGGCCATAGGGGTGCCCGGCGGGCGGTGGGGAATGGGGATGTGCAGAGCCCGGTGCCGTCCCCAGCGGGTGGCACGGAGCACACCGCGTGTCCCTGCTGTGTTGGGGGTCACYGCGTGTCCCCGCGTCACCGTGTGCCCTCCTCCCGCGCAGGTGAGCCGCGTGCTGCGCCCGGGCGGCCGCTTCGTGTCCATCAGCTTCGCGCAGCCGCACTTCCGCAAGCCGCACTACGCGCAGGACGCCTTCGGCTGGTCGCTGCGGCACGCGCCCTACGGCGACGCCTTCCACTACTTCGTGTACGTGATGCGCAAGGGCGAGCGCCTGGCCTCGCCCGACCGGGCGCTGGGGCGCAGGCTGCACCAGCCCCCGCCGGCCCCCGACGCGCCCCGGCTGCTGCTGGACCCCGACGACGAGGATTTCCTCCTCGCCATCGAGCTGTGAGGCCGCGCTGCACCGGGCCGGGCCGTGCCGTGCCATGCTGCACCGGGCCGTGCCATGCAGCACCGTGCTGCACCGTGCCGTGCGGTGCTGCACTGTGCCATGCAGCACCGTG